AGTGACAATACACCTCAGTAGTCAATGCACAAATCTCTTAGGTCTGTGCACTGCTTCTGCTGAGACTTGGTGAGGGAAGCGGCTTTACTTACCACCTATGTTCAGCAGGCCCAGTGGGATGGGCCTCTGAATCAGCCCCCCTGAAGCCCCAAGATGCCCAGCATCATGACTCATCAGCAGAAAGAAGAAAATGTGGCAGAAAAACCTTAGGGGTGGGAGGCGGGTGAGAAGTGAAAATGTGACTCAGGAAATCCCAAGGCTCCAAAGGCGGCTCAAGGGAGAAAATATAATGGGGGGTGGGGGGTAGGCCCTCAAGGCAGAAGTTTCCACTACAGCAGGAATTGGGCTTAAAAGCACATTATATTTAATTTCCTTAACAGCTTTAATTTTCTGGTTTAAATCTAGTAAGCATCTGGGGAAGCCAGGTGGCCCACCTGGGGCCTGCTAAAGTCTTTTTTACTTTGCAAGAGACAAAATGACCAGGGACACCAAGAGGACAAATTTGGGAGTAAAATGTGTGCATTTCTATAAGCTTCCCAAGTGACTATGACAGCAGCGAGGATGGAAGAACTGCCCTAAGTTGCTGTAAACCAGCACTTTATGAACAGGTAACACCTTAGGAAGGCTTGGCTAAAGCGGGATTTAGGGAGAGTAGGGAAGCAAGAGGAAGGGCATGGAGCAAGGTGACCACTAAAAACACTGGGGTAGAGGGATAAACGAAGGTCCATTTTGAGTTATGCTGTGTCAATACAAAATCATTCTATAAGTAATTCCTATATTTTCAAATACCACACCAAGAGAAAAGAGGCCCGTTAGCGCATGCACTTTAGAGAATTAAATGTGAGACTTGCCTGGGGGCTGTGCACTCTTCCGGTCTCTAAGGTTTTACCCACCTCATGCTTTCACAACGGCCCACCAGGAGCATTCCGGTTTGTACCCTAGAAACACAGCACAAGCCCAACCCTGTCCACACGGACAAAAAGTGGCACGGAGGCCCCTTAACTCCTGCTTAATCCAGGAGCGAAGCTCCGCTCCTACTTGACGCCAGCTGTGTGCATGCGTACGTGAACATGCGTGCATATGTGAACGTGCGTGTGTATGCAAGTGAACGTGCACGCATAAGTGAAGGTGCACGCGCATGCTTGTGAATGTGGCGAGAACGTGAACATGCAGGTATCTGCCCACCTATTACCCAGGCTCACCCCCGTCTGGGGGAGAGCCTCCCCGAACGGCTATCAACAGGAAATAACTCAAACATTTCATTAGTTTGAAATTTACTGCTGTTATCTGTCTCCTCTCTTCTCTGTACCCCATGTCTGCCCTCACTCGGTCGGCTTGTTTTGGCAGGCAAGATTCTAAGTCAATTGTTTTTCACAAGCATGTTCTCGTGGACAGCATGGGGAAAGCACCACGGCTTTTTTTGTTATTTTTTTTTTAAACACCTTATTAAGCCATTAAATTTGACTGTCGTTTGTGGTATAATTGTTACTAAAAGCTATATTAAGAAAAACATCACCTTTGCAAGGTTATTGGTTTATAGTGAGTTCACAAGAGCGGGTGCCTTTAAATACATAATTAACTTAAGGCTGGATCCTCATCCAGCCAAATCCAAACACTATCTTTTCTTCCCTGAAAGGTGGACATGCCATCCCGACCACCTGCAGTCCTCTCAGGAAATACTTTTAAATTCCTGTTTGCTTTACCCAGTCTCCACAACAACCCAGAGTGGCTTTTCTGCTATAGTAGTTGCCTAAGTCACTTCCCTTGAAAATAAATGGGGCAATGCAATAAGCTGCATTTCCTTTTCCATGAAAAAAAAAAATCGACATGATCTCATCAAGTCTTCTTTCCAATTTAATAGGGCATGAAACTAATCTGCTGAATGAGGGCACATGCTGTAATAGGTATTTGAGTGAACACATCACTAATATCAGCAGAAAGGTAACTATTAGTGTGTTTACCACTTCACGCATAAGAAGAAAAAAATAGACTTAACTCCTGCTGGGTAGAAAATCATTGTCTAAATTAAGGTTAGCAGTTTAGTCTTTTTAATGTTAAAACTTATGTAAGAAAACTTGATCATAATGCTAATCCTAGTTCTTAGGTCTCCTGTAGGCACAAGAGATCATCCCATTACCATCACAAGTGTGGTGATGCCTACCTACTTGGGACTGTTTTTATAGATATCACAAATAACTGACAGAAACAAACTTTCATCACAGAATTAAAATATTTAATGACAAAATTAGAGTTTGCTGTAATAGGGAATCATAGAGCGGGTGTTACTTGTCTCTGAGAGAAACAAAAATTGTACTTGACATCTTAGAGAACTTCTGAAGAATAACTGTACAACAGACATGAATAGTGTTACAATTCTAAAAATTAAAAGCGAGATCCATCCTTAATATCCTTTATGCAGGGCATTCTGTAAATATTTCTACATAAATGCACAACCTTTGCTAGCCACAAAAGTAGTATTAAGACAGATTTCACTATAATTTTAGGTCTAACACATAATCTTAATTTTTTTTAGAGCTTAAAAAAAGTTAACTACTGATCTTGTTACATTTTACAAATACATTCTTTAATATGAAACATTAACCTGAATAACTGTATACTTCCTGTACACAGATATCTAATACTAGTGAAGAATACTACAGCTACTTTCCAAGAAGTGGTAACACTGGGAAGTTCTTTTCTTTATGCATTGTCAATACAATTTAAGAAGTCTTTCACAGAAATATAGTATCCGCCAAACTCATAGTAAAGTACAGAAATGAAATGTCTTCTAGCAAGCTCAACCAAACTATTTGGTCCCAAATAATGTGAGTCATTAGCAACTTTCTCTAGGTTAGATTGTATTAATATTTTGTACTGCAGCACCTTCCACAAAAATATGGCAAAGGCCTTCATGTGTGTCATCACAGGGGTCCTTTATAGGAGCTCAGGAGAAAGAGGAGGGGCAGGGATTGCTGATCTGGTCTCTGTGGGACAGAGAGCTAGGCAGGACTTTGACACAGGGAGGTCAGCGTAAGAACTCAGCCTGGAAGCAAATCAACAGGAGAAGCTCAGATTCAGATAGGCTTTTTCCTAATCCAGTCTATTTCCAAGAAGATGTGAGTCTAAAAGGACCAACAGTGAGGAAAGAGGGCAGATGTGGAATACCGGTATTTATGAAGAGTACTATCACAATTCTACCAGGGAGGAAGAACCTCAAGATTCACAGTATGCTTATGACCTCATCTTCTGCTACTTTGGAAGCAGCTTCACAAACACTGATGTTAGATAGTTGGCAATAAATTTTATTTTTGAGTTTGGCTGATTGTCAGAGGAGGTTTTAGATTTATCTTTTCAATTATTCATACCAAATATCTCTGAGGCTAGAATCCAATTTGGGAAGATGAATGTGTGTGTGCATGTGTGTGTGTGTGTGTGTGTGTGTATTTTCTGAACAGAAGTTTGCAAATACAACATCTTTTGAGCGACATTTTGCGCTTTTCTTAGAAATTATAAGTGTGTCTAATGGTACTTGCCAGATAACAAGTTCACTGCTTCTTTAAACTTTGAAGACGCCAAAAGAAAAGTACAAAATCTTTTAGTAAACTTATATAGTTTACCTGAATTTACAGAGAGTTTTCTTGAACTGGATGATTTCACTAAGAGGATTCAGAAATTTGTCTGCAGGAAATCCTATCTCCCTTTTGACATATATAGTCTACGATATCCCTTCATCCCCACCCCAATAGATCAACTTTATCTGCCCGAGAATTCTTTATCAGGAGAACTTAAGATATATAAATCAGCATAAATAATCTGAAAGTTATCTTATATTTAAGAGGCAACCATACACGTAGACTCAATGGGCTCAACGGGCAGGAAGGAGCAGAAAGAGATCCTGAACATTGAAGTGGTTTAAGAGTCAGTGCAGAACAGTGGGAGCTGGGGTGGGGGTGGGTGCGCGGGGTGTCTGGGATATGCAGCTTGTCTCCTTGTTGCATGAAGAAAAAGCACAGATTTTAGGATTAGCATTTTAACTCCTTAAGAAACAGAATGCCCAGACTTTAAGCCCAGTCCTATCTTGCATAATATAAAAATCGGGTGTGTGAACCAACTTGATTTAATCCGACTGCAATGCAATGATGTCAGGTCAGGCAAGCTGCAATTGTCATGAAGTGCAATCTGTCAAGAAACCCATACTTTAAATTACATTAAATAAGTAGACAGCAATAACACCAAATCCTCCAAATTTCAGATCTCAAGAAAAGTGAAGACCATTTCTCAAGGACACTGTAAGGTCTCTAAGCTAGACATGAGTTTGTTAAAAGAAAAGAAAAAAGACTTTAAATGTCGTATCTTTTCACATTATTGTTTACACAGAACCTTTATGTGGACAAATCAATTCTTGATAAAAATCCAAGTTCTTTTCAATACTAGCTACCTCAGTTTAGGGCAATGACAAAAGAAACATTCATGAATGCACGAGGTTTTTAAATAGGCTTTTCCTTAGGTCTTCAATCTCAAACGTTTATCCTTCAGATGATAGTTCTAAATAATCAGCCTTTAAACAAGTAGTGGAAGTATTTAAACTGTAGCTCAGTAAGTAGATTTCTATCCGTGATTTTGATTTTTTTTTTGAATGCTGGTGATGGCTTATGCAGAACATTATGACATAAGAGCAAAATCCAAGACTGCTGTTTCCCCAGATAGATCCAACTGTTTTCCATAATACACACTTAGGTAATAGATTCTTAATCTTCAAATTAAGAGTAGCTAGGAGACTGAGAGTCACCAATCACTGCTCCACTTTTATTTCCATCCAGGAAAAAAAACATCTGATGGGACCACATTAAAATATCTTCCTGCTTAATGTCAGGACAAAATATATGTTGCCAGTTTAGACCCAGTTCAGTGTATCATTTAGTCCAAGTTTCATATTCAAACTAGCAAATGAAAAATTTTTAAAAAGGAAAACAAACAAGTACATACACTCGGGGGTGGGGGGTGGGGGGTGGTGGGGGGACACCAAAATGAAGCTGATGCTTTTGCAGCATTTCTTAGCAAGATCTTTAGGGAACTGTATAAACACAACATCTTTTCTTTCCTATTAACACCTGGAAAGGAAAACCAAAAACCCTAAATGTCCATATACTGGAAAAAAAAGAAGCAAGCAGAGGTCCGGAATTCTTTTAAAAACCGCAGAACAAACTCTTCCATTTCTCTTAGGGGGGTCACCAGGATAGGCAGTTTCGCAGTTTCTCAACATTTGTGCTTCATGGCAAGCTGAGGAGAGAGAGGGATGAGAAAAGTAAGATGTTCTTAACAGTGGGGAGAATTCCCTGTGCAGCCCCCCAAGCCCCCAATCTGCAAGTAAGAGCAGCACCAAGATTCCCCTCGAGGTGGTAGATTTCCGTGCCATTCACAGCAGCTTCCAGTAAATGTGCAATGCTCTTCCCAGAAGTCACCCAGCACTGCATTTCTCACTCCTCACAGCAAGCGTGTGTCCAGGCCGGGGAGGGGGCTACGTGGTTGGTTTTCCTTTATGCCGCTGTGATAGCCAGAGCCCAGGCAGAATGGGCCACCTGCCCGAGGAACAGGTGGGAACCAAACAAAGTCTCTGGGCACCTGCTCACACCGACATTCCACAGCTGTAGGAGTCATCCCATGAAGGATTCAAAATCAACAACTATGAGAAATTTTCTGCAATAATCCACTCAATATCTAGCCTGGACATTCAACCGGGTTCAAAAAGTACCTGGCAATGAAACTGTGCTGCTAGTGATGAGGGCTGAACAAGAGACCAAAGCCAGACCTTGATTTACTCCTCCTCCCACTACTATTTTAGAAATGTGGTTTACTGACATGGTTGGTCTTTATAAATGGGGAACCCACACCCCACCGTGTCGTTCCACGGCTTCCTGAGCTCAGGAAATGTGTGGAGTTACAGAACATAAAATGAAATTCCACTTGCCTTTTCTCAGTCTCAGCTTTGCCAAGAAGCTCATACACAGATGTGAACCAGAAGCCAGAGCTGAGGCCTATGCAATTCTTCCAGTACCCAGAGTCTGATTTAGGGATTAGTCCCTGAGGTAGGGCCTGGGAGTGATTTGGGGGAGGGGGCAGGATTCCTCAATGTAGGTTGCCTTTGAGCAAACAGTAGGTGATTCTCTGCAGGCAATACATTTGTAGTAAGTGCTGTCATTTGCATCACAACCAGATTCTTGGTCCTTGAATTATCAGCTGGGGCACCTCTCTCTTCTCCCCCCTCCCAGATGCCACCCAGTGGTCCCTGAGTCATCCTGGAAGACGTCAACAATCTATTTCTCCAGGGTGGTGCAGGGCTGGAGTCTCCCCTTCTCCCTTCTTGACGTCTTTGACTAAGAAGTCATAACCCTGCATCTCAGGTAGGTCACCTGCAAAAGCAGCACCAACAGGTCCGCTGCAGTCCATGCACTTGGTTCGGTCACAAGAGGGAGAGCGCAGCTGTGGACCTAGCCCTTACATGGTTACTATAATCTCTGCTTAGGAAACCCCAGCTGAACGAGTTTCTGGTGCCTCCGCCCAGTAAAGTCAGCCTAAGTGAAGACTCAGACCTCCTACAGTGCTGACACCAGCAGCTGGTCAACCATCAGACAGTGTCTGTGCATCCTGAGTGTGCTTAGTTGCCATGTTAAGCTCTTGGCTGGCTTCCCCTAAGCCAAGAAGGGTGGAGGTGGCTAATCATTCCTGAACTTGCCTTTAAAGTCTAGGAAACATGGTAGATAGAAGTGGCAGAGCCTGGTCTCTCCCATTCCTGACCACACTGCATGGCCTCCACTTTTATGTGTGTGTGTGTGTGGGACCCTCGCCTGTGGCCAGGGAACGAAACGGCGCTGCAGAGGCTCCTGGCAGCCTCGCAGCCCAGCGCTCAACTGCTGCGCCACCAGGGGAGGCCCCCATGCCTCCACTTTTGCCTGATCTCTAGTTTGTACACTTTATTTAGTAACGTGGACCATTCAAATCAACACAGAGCTGTTAAGTTGTGCATAATGAATACCAACCATAAATATTTGATTAGTGCTGCTGTCCTGTTATTCACTGAGCTGTTAACCTTCAACTAATAGGCTTGTGCCAGTTCACCCACAGCTATTAATCTGCAGCTGTGATTGTGACACTGCTAAGACTAGGCCCTGGTGGTCACTGAGACTAGGCCCTGGTGGCCACTATGGTGTGTCTGGAGTGACATTGGCATTACAGTGTGTCAGAATCTGAGCAATTCAGCTTTGCATATAAACAGCTGAATTGGACATTTTGGTATTTGTGATAGTTTTGCAGAGTGGCATTGTTTTCATGCTGTCTATTTTTTTTTTTTTTGTTTTTTGTTTTTTAAATTCCCTGGAAATTAGACACTGCAGAATTCAGAAGGCAAGATGGTAGAGCAGAAAGAACACTGAATTAAATGGAAACAGGATATTTGAGTGCTGTTGCTTCCCTGCTATAAATTTGCTGTATGATCTCGAGCTCTGAAGTCACAACTGCTTTGTACCTCAGTTTCCTCATGTCTATAAATATCGCTTCCAACTCAAATCCTTCTGGATCAATTTAGATGTCAGAGTTCCTACAGAAATGGAGTTTAAAACTTCAAACCTTTCTCTTTCAATGCAATATAACTTCACCTAAATGATGATGATGATAAAAATAATAAATCATTACTCATACTGGCGGGGGGCCTGGCTCTTGAAGTCCTTTGGCTCAGCGACAGAAAGGAAGTAGGTGACTGTGGTGAGTGGGGACAAAGGAAGACATTCCCTCCCTTTTGCCCCTCCTCCCTTCCCTATAAGGTAAACTTGTGCAAAACAGGGCTGATTACCACTCCTTTCTGCCAGAAATGTCAGCTGAGGATGCTGAGGTGTGGGAAACTCTTGCCTGCTGACTCACAGCCTATAGTGGGGCTGTCAGAGCGCTGCATACACTGTGATGCTGTACTTTTGGGGGCTGGGGAAAGGGAGCAGATCGCTCTTGGGCTGAGCTGTACTTTCCTGAAGGCTGAGATGGTGCCAAGCTCACAGCTCAGGAACCACACCTCCTCAAGCCAGGACCATGGGTTCTGGGGCACAGGGTGGTTTCCATCTGCTCTCTAGAGATATGCACCCACATATCCTGATGGTAGGGTTGTGCAAAGGTTCTCCACTCCCTAATGTGCCTGGGTCATTGCAGGAGTCCTGGGAAACCTTTAGGGAGCTGTAGGTCCTTTTCTCCTGTAATCGAGAAAGGTGTGCCATGCTTGCCAGCTGGGATTGTACACTTTCACCCTGATTTGAACTGTCACCTGATACTGCAGTTCTCTGCTTTGCCCTGTGTCTCGAATTGTAAACACAGCCCACTCTTTATGAGTCAACTCAGCCCTGTTAGTTTTGGGGGCAGAAGACCTGGGTTGTCACTCTGAACTCTCTTCCCACTAGCAGGCCTGGCCAGGAGTTGCTCAAGGAAATGATATTTTCACGGTCAGCCTACACCATTGAGTCCAAATTAGAAGACTTAATCCCTAGGAAAATAGCCACATTTTACCTAAAGAGGTCAATCTCCTCCTTAGGAATATTGCCAAGGCCAGTGATTCATATGCACACATACCAATTTTAGAAAACTGAAGTCTGGCTATGACAGTATCTTTCTCGCATTCCCTCAAATACACTGATAGATACTAGTGGTCCCTTCCCCCATACAATAAGGGGAGCCCTCCCACGCCCCATCTCTACTGAAAACAGGTAACTGGCTGGCATAGACCCTCTGGGTGGTCAAAGTCAGAGGCCCTTTACCTCTGGTGGTCTAGTCAGTTTCTGTTTTAAGGATAGTTCCCTGTTTAGAAAGAATCAGTATTTAGCCGGGAGGCCTACCCACCTCACTTAGGAAGGCACAGAATCTTCACCCCCAATCCCTCCCATCCCTGTGTTGGGAGCCTCAACCACAGTTCTTCAATCCTCCCCCAATGCTCAGCATGTAACTTAATTAGGGCAGGTTCAGCATAAAACATTCTTATGGAAATAATTGTAACTAATATTAACTTAGCTACATATGTACCAGGTATAGGCTAATAGATTTATAGGTTTGAACTCAATTTTCTCAACAGCCTAGCAGGTAGGTACTATCATCAATTAGCCCTAGTGTACTGAAGAGGAAACTGACACTCAGAGAAATTAAGACCTTGCCCAAGGTCACTGAGATGGTAAATCAGACACAAGATGTTTACTACCATACCATATTGCCTTCCCACCTACCTAGCAAATTTGATACAACACCAGGGAAACAGGGTGACGAGGGCCAACAATTCTGGCCATCTGGATAGGTTGTCCAACCCAGTGTTTGCACAATCTTCTATGAGGGGGATGCCCACATAGATGACCTGCAGGTATTGTCTACTCCACCTTAGGAAGAGCAATTTCACAGACTTCCTTGGTAACCTAGTCCATGTTTTAATCATTAACCTAAACTTGTGTTTTAGCTGAATATTATCAGTGCACTATTGATGGCTCTATTCTGTATGGTAAAGCACAAAAAAGAACTGCCTGTACTATCACATTTGAAGACAGTTAAAAGATTATTCTCTTTGGCCTTCTATTGCCCCAAATCAATACTGTAAATGTTTCCCTGGACTTCCACTTCCCATTCCCCATTTCAACCACTAAAGTTGCTGCTGTTATAAATTAAGCTGAGGCAAGGATCACAGCATTTCTATCTCATCATTATTTCTTTATCGTGGAGGCTGGAGAAGGGAAGGAGGGATGAGGGGGAACTTTAAATCTGAGCTCCCTCAGTGATAACAGTGGCAAGAGAAGCTCAGGCCTCTAGCAGAGCTGCCTGTATTTTCAGGCAAATCTGGCCACTTTGTTGCAGAGATATCTCTGTGAAAGGGAGGCGCCATTTTCCCCACCCACTTATATGCAGCTACCTCAGATTTCAAGTCCCAGCATGCCATGAACCAGACTTCCAAAAGGTGGTGGGCCGCTGGGAAGGAGTGAGGTGGACATGTAAATAGCGGGGGTGGGGGGGTTGGGGGATGAGGGGGTACTTGGAAGAGGCACTTGGAGAAGAGACATGTAGAGACACTTGGAAGAGCGACTTGAAAGAGTCATGTGTGCGAGAGACACATTGGGGAGGCTATTCCTTGTCCTTGGCAGATTTTGGTTTTATGTTGGATTATGTGGCAGATTTTGAACTTTGAGTTTCTCCTTCTACCCCAGCTCTCTGGGACCTGCCTAATGCCTTCTATGGTTCTCTCCCAGAAGTACCTTCAACTTGTAAGCTTTGGGTCTCAGTGGCCCCACTTTAGGCTGGGCCTGTTTGGGCATTTGCCATGAGGGATGGGTAATTTTTAGGGTGTTATTGGGAAACCATTATTTGAAATCCTTTCTTTGCTCTCTCTCTATGTACACCAAATATTAAAAATCTTTCAAACGGAGAGTCTGCTTCCTTTGTCTTTCTCTGCACAGATGGCAGAACTCCTTTTAGAGCTTGCACCCTGAATAATCTGGGGTCCCTGGGTACCTCTTAGTCATGTGCTAACAATTTCTCCTCCAGGGAACTCCAAATGGGTCCCCAAAGCAGCTGAGTAGCAAGCTCCTGTGACAATAGGGAATGAATGACACAATGGGACAGGTCTCTGTAAAGGGGATGCAGAAGGGAGGCAGGAAGCATTCACTTGAATCGGATCCATGGTAGGGCCTGAGCGTCAGCTTTTCTCTTTTCTTTCCAGATTATGCATTATTGTTACTTCAGCAGAAGCAGAGTTTTCTGTTGAAGCAAATTAATTTTTCCCCCAAAGGTCACCTGAAAAGTGTATCTGAAGAGCCAGTGCCTGAGTCTGGGATGCCAACACTTATCTGCAGAAGTTGTTTCTGGAAACCTAAATTTGAATCACTAGCCAGAAAAGAACTGCCCTGTGATCTGAAGCACCAGAACAGTAATAAATCCTCTTTATCACCTGACCAACAGGCCCTCTGTTTCCTCCTTATAGCTGGCTGCCAATAAAAACTCCCTTTTCCCCTTCTGAAAGCTGTATTTTTAGGGAATGTGTGTGTGTGCGCGCATGTGTATCACAGTCACATGCGACATGTCAGCTTCTGGGTTTAGAAGCAGGAGGAACCTCATAGGCAGATCTGCAGTAGTCAGCTCTGCCTTGCAGACCCATGACCCTAAAACGAACCCTGAGGGGTGCTGTGCCCTGGGGCTGGAGCCTACTCTTCCTGTAGTGAAGACACAGGATGCTGGGCTCAAGCCCAGAAGGGGACACTAAGGTAAGTAAGAAAGAAAGAATAGCACAAAGTCCTCTTTTGAGATTGACCTAGGGAAGAGGGAGGTTGTGAGACCTGATATCCCACACCACTCCCATCCTGTTCCCTGAAACTTGAGCTCTAAACTTGTAGGCAAGAACTAAAAAGGATTCAAATTTCCCAATATGCTAAGGTCAGAGATGGGGATGAAAATGTTACTAAGTAGCTCAAGAAACAGGCCCTAGAAGAAATTAGCCATGACTCTAGTATTAAGTAGCAGATGGGAACTGTGTAAAGGAACAAAAAAACAAAACAAAACAAAACAGGGCTTGAGTTAGTATCTTCATAATCGGGAACATACTAGAACAAACTTCTTGGCACCCACACTCCCTGACAACCCAGAATACAGACCCTTGCCCTTCTGCAGGACCCACCTTGTGTGCAGTTTCTGCAAACTGCTGGGCGCTGTTCTTCAAGTCCTCTGTCTTCTCCTCAGCTCGGCCTAACCGCTCCCCACGCTCATTCAAGGCCTGGCTCGCTTTCTGTACAGCACTGGTCACGCTGTCAGCCGCTGAATGGAGGATGCTGTTTCCTGAATAAGGACAGCAAGAGCATCAGAACCTGGCTGGGCCTATAGCAACAGACCCCTGCCAAGGATGAGCACCCTGTGAGAGCAGGGCAGGTCACACCATAGAAAGGCCTTGAGTGTCAAGGGAACAAGCCAACATTTCTCCTGACGTGGCCTGACTGGTTCACTGGTAGGAAGACATGACCTGGGCAAGCACTGAAAGCTTCTCTCCCACCCCAATGCCTGCACAGCACTCATTTCACTCACTGGCGTTGTGTCTGGTGAGGCTCAAAAGAACGGGACCTGTGTAGGTTTAGGACTTGAATTGAAAATCCTTACAAGTTCATAGAATTAGGCAAGTTAAACAAGACAAATCTTAAGTGGATTTTCTTTTTTTTTAATTAATTTATTTATACAAGCACTGGGTACAGTCAGAAGCGCTTGAGGGTGAGAGAATTCACCAGAGCCAGAGCGGGGAGCAGAGCAGGCAGAAGGACCGAAGTACACTGCTGAGGGGAGCAGCGGGCGGCAGGAGAGGTCTGCACACCATGTGGGACCCTCCTCGGGTGGCCGGGGAGCATCTGGGGATCGAACCAGCGCAGCAGAGGCTGCGGGCAGCTTTGCAACCCAGCACTCAACCGCTGCGCCACTGGGGAGGCCCAAGTGAATTTTCTTTTGACCTGGGGTTTAAGTAAATAACCACAGGGATATTGGGGACACAGAATTTTTGTGGGCACAATGCTCTGTATGCCTCTTGGCTTTTCCCTTCCATATTACTTCCATTCCCTTCCAATTTCCTCCATATTCCCTTCATCCCTAAATGTATGTTCCATGTGAGAAGCTCTGAATTAATCTCGAAGTTCAGAGTAGATGCACTGATTCCACACCTTGAATCTGAGGCTTTGACTTGGGTGCTTGGTCCTCCCTGCCTCTGATCTCCAATATAGCAGGTACCTGAATAACAATTTTCATTTAACATTGTTTCATAAACAATTGATGAGAAAAAGCAAATGGATTTGACATGGAAGAAGTGATATTATTTGAGGACTGTGCTGCCAGGATGGCCACAGGGCAGGTTTTCTGATCCCGTAGACCGGGTAAAGGAGAGTCCTGGAGCCCTCGGTGGCTTTCTTAGGCTTTTATTGAGCTTTACATGTAGTGTGGCAAACAGGTACATGGCAGGCCGGGGTGCTGGGGGGCCAGGAGGCCTGCAGGCCTCCAAGCCCCCAGCAAGTCTTTACTCAAGGCTTCTCTCTCTCTCTCTTTCTTCAGGTGTTCTATCTCCCCTTCTCTCTTCTGCCTCTTCTGCTTCTGCTTCTGCTTCTCTTGGTAACTATCTCAATACTCCTCCCATGGTCCACAGAAGTAAATAACACAACAATGTAACAACTGCAGGTGCCCCATCAGGCAGGGCAATCCTAACTGTGGGAGGGCAGAAAAGCCTAAAAACCATTTACCCTATAAGGACCTACTTTTGTTACATATCACTTAGTTTAAAGTCTAAATTTCCAAGAACCTATGGACCCGATTAAGTGAGAATATAGGAAACATGGGGCCTCAGCCCACTTAAAAGCAGATAGAAAACAGTGACAGAAACATGTCTTAGAAGAAACTTAGTGCTCCTGAATTCATGTGTGATGACACAGAGAAAGTTGAAGATGGTCACACCCTTGCCATCCCATTTGCCGCACTGGGAAACAGAATTCAACAGTGAAGACCTGGCCGAGGCAGAACTCACAGAACCAGCAACCTCTAATATGACAACCAAAAGAACAATATCTTTTGTTAACATTGAGTGGAAGATAGTTAATGGCCTTTTATGTAATAGCTTTATGTCTTTGAACAAGTTTATTACATCATTTAACTTTGTTCCTGGGATGGATCCATCTAGCCACAGACAGCTTTTAATAGAAATGTAATTTCTAATGGTCTCAGCTGCAAAGGCTTTTTAATTTCTCCTCAGTGGGAATAGCGTGTGGTTTGTAGCAAAGAATCTCAGACAAAGAAAGTGCCTGCCCAGTGGAAGTACTTGGTAAATTGTCTTCCATTTTCCTTCTTCAGGGGTGGATTGCAAGGGCTTCCACTGCGCATTGAGGGAAGGGGGATGGAGTTAATTTAGTATTACTCAGTTGTGTCAAGCACTATGTAAGACAAGATAAATCAGCACAGATTCGAAGGGACCAGAGGAGATGAGGCTCTGGGGAAATCAGATTAAATGCAATGGTTGGACTGGAAGGCCTCTATCTTTAGAACAGATTTGGAAGGAGAAATCTCAGTCTCCCCTTTGTTTTCACACATACTCATGACTATGTAGTAGCCTATCACTACTGTCTAACTTTTTGAAATCATAGAGCACCTTCACACACATGATCTCACTTGATTGCCACAAACATTCTACAGAGAAGACAGGCTAGTTGAGTTTAAGTGGCTTGCATGAGATGGTATCACTCAGGAAATGATGCGGCTAGTACTGGAAACTGGTTTGCCAGTGAACTTTCTGTAGTTTGCCCTTTGCAGATATGGTGTTGGTCAAGGGAACAATCACTATGACAGAATTGTGAGCAGGCTAGCATAGATAGTTTTTTTTTTTTTAAATGATTTATTTATTTAAAAAATATGATTTATTTATATGATTTATTTAAGCATATAAGAACTGGGGTACAGGCCAGAAGCATGGGGGATGAGAGGTAGCACAGATAGGTTTTGACAGGTTATTTCCCAAGGTAACATCTGATTGTTCTGTCCTCAAGATATTCTTCTTGGTAAATGCAGAGTTACAGGCCATGCTGCATTGCAAAGTAAGTACTCTCAAAAAGGAAGACTCCAATGGGATGGAATGGGAAATGGATTAGGACTGGAAGACACAAAGGAATGCGGGGGAGGGCCACAAGAAAATCTCTTTCCTTTTTTGCTTCCTTACACATACCCAGAGCTTAACTCCCAGTGGCTAGGGAAAAGATAGAGCAGGGCATCTATGACATCACAGCCAGGAATCAGCTACCATAAAATTAAGAGGGTATATAACCAGGACTTGTTTTTTCTCATTGTAATTGACCCTCATGATATCCTCAAAGCTAGTCACATCTGTTTCTGAAATGAACACCTGCTGCATTCAGAATACTGCTTTCTTGTCATGACTTCCTTAATCCTATACAAGATGTCAGGTAATGCTGTACCCAATTTTATTTTAAACTCTTTAGTCAACAGTCATTTTAACTCTTACAACTAAAAGAGGGAACTGTGGGAACCGTCACTATTCAAGGATGACTCTGCTGACCACTGTAATAGAAAATCCACTTTCAGCTATTTTCAAGGCATGAGGATAGATTGGAACAAATCTCATCGCCTCAGTTGAAACCAGCCTCTTCTGGTTTCAACTCTTATGAATTTTTTTTGGCCCAATGAAGTCCAATTATCTTGATCATGTTTCAGGTCAATTCCATTCTTGCTTTTTTGTCCATATCTTATCCACTATCCCTATCTGGGTGCTTAATCAAGTACAGTCATGGACAACTCTTCTACCTTATTTCTTCACCTGTAGATGCAATGGCTTCCCAAATGGACTATAACTTCTCTGACAGCACCATAACTTTCTGTGGATCATTCCCCAATTCTTGAATCTTTCTCATCTTGGCTTGGGTCTCCTGCTTGCCTATTTTCTTCTTTCTGGAATCTTCCTAGAAAGCGTTCTAATACTGTGAATTTTAGGGTTCTGTCCTGGGCCCTTTCTCTCTCACACTCTACAGATTCTTCCTGGGGAAATTTTATGCAGCTCATGGCTTCAATGACCATATTTTTTTCTTTGGCTCGTTGTGCTGCTGAGCTCCAGGTCCTTGTGTTTCCCATTGGACAACTCCAGGTGAGTCATCTTGAATTCAGGTGGTCTATACCTGACCACATTATATTTCCCTTCACACCTATTTTTCTTTGGGGCCCTGCTCAGTGAATGACCCAACTATCTGATCAGCTCTTCAGTTCAGAACTCTGGGAGCCTACCTTAACTTTTACCCCATACAACTAAAGATTACCTCCTATCAGCTCTCTATTCTTCATCCTCTTTACCCTCTCAGTGTCTCTGTATTGACCCAGGCCCTCTTGCCTTCAGTTATAGCAAAAGCCTTTCATCTAACTGTTTCATACCCTTTCTGGTCCATCTTCCACACTTCCATGATTACATATTTATTTATTTATTTATTTTTTGTGGGACCCTCGCCAGTGGCCGGGGATCGAACTGGCGCTGCAGAGGCTGCCGGCAGCCTCGCAACCCAGCGCTCAACTGCTGCGCCACCAGGGGAGGCCCTCCATGATTACATTTTTAAAAAGGCAAATCTATTGCCATCTCCCTATAGCTTCCAAGATAAAACTGAGATCTCTGACATGCCTGCTTCTCCCTCAGCTCTTTTCTTGGAATTCCAGCCACTTTCCTTCCTACGTAGCATCCCCTGATACAATGCCTTGCCAAATTAACTAACTTCTCATAAATGTACCCTGTTTTACCTGTATGCCTTTGTACTTACCGCTACCTCTGTCTGGAACTCTGCTTCTCATTTCGGCCTTTCCACATACTCCCTAGTCCTTCAGTACACTTCAGACCCACTTTTAGGAAACACTGTCTAGCCCACCTTACACCCCTGCTGCTCCCAACACACACAATATCTTGTATCTATTTCAGATGGTGCATTTATTTTCTTGCATGTAATTGCTGATATCTAGTGTGAGCTCCTCGGGGGCAGGGAGTCTTTGTCACGTCTGTCCTCACAATCCATGGCGTGTGGTAGACATTCAACGACTCTTCACTGGCTTAAGAGACAGGGAATATGTGTCATCTTTATAATTTCTTCATGGCTCAGCAGAGGGTTGGACATAGAACTGATGCTGTCACATGATCTGAGTGGGTCCTGAAATTCTCAACTTGCAAAATGACTAAGGGTTTTTAGTCTGTGTCCAATGAACTATCTCATCTAGAGATTGTGCCTGGACTTCAGTGAAATAAGTCAACAATAAAATGCAAAAAAGAATGTTTGTGCTATAGTAAAAGCAAAGAGGGAGTTTATTTTAAAAAATGCTACAAGCCTTAAAATAAACAAATGTAATGTGTAAAAATAACAGGAGTTAAAAAGCTTAATAAATCCAACACCAAAACAACAGCTGTCTGAACACTTATTGTATTCTTGGCACTTACTAAGGTCTGCTCCTCTCAACAACCTTATGTGCCAGGCAAATCATCAATCCCATTTTTACAGATGGGAACACCAAAGCAAGAGAGGCTCAGCAATGTGCCAAGGATCACACAGTATGTGAAGAGCAGAGCTAGAATTTGAACCCTGAAGTCCAGCTTCAGAGCTAGTTCTCTTGCTCATTGTGTTATAGTAAATATTCACGGGACTTTTCTTATATTGAAATTAGTGACGCAATCTGCATTAACTGGAATGAGACGTCATTGTGACGTCAATGCAAATCAAAATACAAAACAGAAAGCATCCTATTTTATTATAAGTTTAAAATAGTACTGTGGAAAATTTAGAATATACATTACTATAAAAGGCAATAAATTCATATAATATCCAATTCTTTAGTGATAATGTATATATAATACATTTTATTCTAGTAATTTTTCTGCATTTTTTGGTAAAACATGCTTGAGATCATATTGTATATATTTAATTCTATATCCTATTGTGGATACTTTTCCATGTTATGAAGAATTCTTGGAAAACACTGCATATAATGGCTGTATGACACTATTATTAATTTATTCAAGGATTTCCCTTTTAGATATTTGGTGTGTTTCCAAAAGTTTGGAAGTTTGAGATTGCAATTACCTTCTTGGATTTACAAACACACACACACACACACACACACGTATACTCTGACTATATTTCTGATAATTCCTAGATGTGAAACTGTAAGTTTGAAGTTCATATACATTTTTATGGTTCTGGATGCATGCTGGAATTGCCTCCCTAAAAGTTTCATTCAACATTCAAAACTATTCATTGAGTACATAGTATGTGTCAGGCATTGCTATATTGACACCATTGGTGGAGTGACTTTGAGGGAGTAATTTAAATTCTATGATCTTTGATTTCCTTGTCTCTAAAATGAGAGTGATGCCATGTCCCCCATGTGGTTGCTGGGAAAACGAAGACGAAGATGTACATAAACTGAATGAATGTTTGCCTCTCCGCCTCCCTAGGTAACATTTGCTCTCCAGAAACTGTGGAAAACGGCACAATCTGACCCAAACTTACTGCAAATCTCCTCTCCCCCCTCCTATCTGGAGGGTCACAGAAGAAACCTCTCAGATATCTTTGTATGTCCTGCTGTGTGTAGCTGAGCATGCTTCCAGAAAGGGAGTTGAATACATACTCATTATATCAAGGTGTGCTTTGTAAACAGGGTGCCTAACTCAAAAGTTGGGGCCCATTGTATTGTGCTGAGTTAAATCTGGAAATAATACAATCTCCTGAGGCCCTGTGAACGGTAATTCTCACTAAATAGACAGGAAGCATGTTAATACCCAAATTTATTCAAGCAGTGAGAGAAGAGGTTGTCAACCACAGCAAATAAAATCAACTACCTTTTGAATTATAGTCTCTGGAGAGCAGAGCAGAGATCAGCCCTACTTCCTTGATGTTGCATTACATCAGTTCCACTCAATATGTGCTTTTAAATATATGTTGGCATTTTTTATGCTAAGTGATTGAGAAGACTTTATGGAGAGAGCAACTAGAGATGAAGTTATAACACTGCACCCAGTCAGTGTTTGAAAACACAATTAAAAGAAATTGAAATGCATAGGAAATGAGGGAAAAAGAAAAAGGCACATTGAAAATGACAATAGGAGAGAGATATTTAAAAGCATACAAATGCTCACAGTCCAGGTAGCAACATAATTTCTTTCAGTCATGCCAGGCTTCAGGTTGTATCTTATATCTTAGTAATCAAAATTCCTAATTCCATAGCTAGTAAAGAGGCAATTTAAATAGAATTTTCAGCAGTTACATATATGTGTGTGTGTGTGTGTGCATGTATACGTATATATAGAGATTTGAAATGCAAAATAATTTTTTTAAAGATTTATTTATGCATACAAGAACAGGGGTACAGGCTAGAGGTACAGGGGGTGAGAGGATTCACTGAAATACACTGCTGAGGGGAGCAGCGGGAGAGACAGGAGAGGTCTGCAGCACCATGTGGGTTGCTCCCAGGCTGGGAATCGAACTTATGCTGCGGTGGCTGCAGTTAGTTTCATAGGTTGCGTCTTAACCCCTTGCACCACCAGGGAGGCCCCAAAATAATTATCTTGTTTAGGAAAATCATCTAAATGATGAATAAATATATGCCAATTTATAGTCCTTGTAGAGCAAATATGCTCATCTCAGATTACTCTTTTAAAACTGAATCTATTAATAGTTTTGCTTGGATTACTTCTACTCTATAATCAATTTAACCACTTAGGAATAACCATATAATAAAACCCCATTCATTCAAACTAACTTAAAGGAAAATCAATTTTGGAAAAAAACATATAAAATGGATTTGGGTTCTAATACAGTAAACTCACAAAAATTGGCAGGGAGCTCATTATATTAAATCTGCTAATAGGCTGGGAACATTAGTAACTCTCACATCCTATGTCCATAATGTTCAATAATAATTTATTCTCTGAGTAGATTAATAGTCCCTATTCTAGTCTCATCTACAGTATTAATTTACTTAGCAAAACTATTTTCATGGGAAGATATAAGGTACACTTAAGTCTGGTCCAGTATTAGTGCCTTTCAAATTAATTTTACTGGATACAAATCTATGGGATTTACCCAAGATGATTTTTTTTTGAAAGATTTATTTATGCATACAAGAACTGGGGTATAGGCCAGAGGTGCAGGGGGTGAGAGGATTCACCAGAGACAAAGTGGGGAACAGAACAGGCAGACTGACTGAAATACACTGCTGAGGGGAGCAGAGGGCGAGACAGGAGAGGTCTGCTGTGCCATGTGGGTTAGCTCCCTGGCCTGGGAGCGAACTCAAGCTGCAGAGGCTGTGGATCGTTTCACAGTGTAGTGCTTAATCCCTTGAGCCACCAGGGATTCCCCTACCAAGATGTTTTTTCTTGCCTCTTTTCTACTCTAATCTTCATTGCTCAACATGTCCACCACCAGGCACAGTGGAAAAAGAAAAGCCTCATGGACCCCTGGTTCTCTATCCTCAGCATCCCTTCTCAGCCCCGAAGCCTCCCTGAACCACTGACATACTTTAGTGCCCCCTGAGATGAGCCGTCACCTCCACCCCCACTGGTGGAATTCAGTGGCCTGGTGAATGTGATGCTTCCTAGGAGGTACTGCTTAGTATCGTAACTTGCACTGAATATTTTATAAATGAATAATGATTTAAATCATAATGATGATATTAACTATTACAAACAGAGTGATTAAATGCAAAGGCCCGCCTGGGTGAAACGAGCTGGTTCTTCATTCACAGCTCCCATTAATCATCTGTGAGGGGGGCAAATTAAGCTCTTTCTATATTACATTGACTGATCAATACTAATCAGACTGCTGCATTTCAAAGTTGGACAAACCTCTAGGAGCTCGGTTTAAGATGGAGAATATTCCAAAAGGTTCCATTTCACTTGTACTTTTGTATATTGACTAATCATATAAATTCTGTTATAAACCCAGGTGACATCAAGCCTTTTGAAAAGGAAGCATTGTTAACCCAAACAGAGCACAGATGCAGTGTGGACATCAGCTGGTCACCACAAAACAGCTACTGTCCACTGACTGCTCTGTGAAGGTGCTGTGGCAAATTGTCTAATTCCTCATGGGAATAGATACTTACCCTTATTTTAGAATAGAGGAAATAAGTGCTCAGATGAGTAGCCTATTCAAGATCACTGAGATCTTGTCCTCAAAGTCCTTTTTAAAAATTATTTTAAGGGCCTTCCTGGTGGTGTAAGGGGTTAAGCACCGCACTATGAAGCAATCTGAAGCCTCTGCAACGAGTTCGATCCCCGGCCGGCCAGGGGACAACCCACATGGTGTAGCAGGCCTCTCCTGTCTCGCCCGCTGCTCCTTTCAGCAGTGTATTTCAGTCAGTCTGCCTGTTCTGTTCCCTACTGTGTCTCTGGTGAGGCCTCTCACCCCCCACATTTCTGGCCTGTACCCCAGCTCTTGTATGCATAAATAAATAAATCTTTTAAAAATAATTTTAAAATAAAAGTTGTATATATATTTAAGGTGTACAACATAATTGGATATATACATACACTGTGAAATAACTACAACTAATTAACATATCATCTGCATGTAGTTACTATTTTGTGTGTGAGTGTGTGTGTTGAGAGCACCTGAAATCTGTTAGTAAATTTCCAGTCTTTAGTACAGTGTTATTAACTCTAGTGTCATGCTGTGCATAAGATCTCTAGACTTAATTACCCTGCATAGCCTCAATTTTGTACTCTTTGACCAGGCCATTTCCTCCACCTCCCTGCCCACCTGTGGTAGACCCAGAAAGACAAAACTGCAAGATCTCACCTGTATGTA